AAAAAAGGGGAAGAAGACGATGACAACATATTACAAGTAAAAGAATAATAAGAATTATAGAGTTGGGGTTGTAGCTCAGTGGTAGAGTACTTGCCTAGCACATGTGAAGTACTGAGTTCCATCCTTAACACCACATAAATAAATAAATAAATGTATTGTGTCCATCTCCTACAACAACAACAAAAAAGTATAACTTTTTTTTTGTGTGGTATCAAACACAGGGCCTTATTCAACAATGCTAGGCAAGTACTTTACCACTGAGCTTCATATGTCTTTAACTGCAGCTAATTTCTAACAGAAATAACAAAGGCAAGAAAACAATGGAACAGCTGGGCACACCTATAGTCCCAGCTATTTAGGAGGCTGTGAGGCAGGAAAATCACAAATTGAAGGCCATCCATGGTAACTTCATGAAATCACAAAATAAAGAAATAAAAAGGATAGGGACAGGGGCTGGGGATGTGGCTTAAGCGTGCGGCCCAGGTTCGATCCTCAGCACCACATACAAACAAAGATGTTTTGTCCACCAAAAACTAAAAAATAAATATTAAAAATTCTCTCTCTCTCTCTCTCTCTCTCTCCCTCCCTCCCTTCCTCCCTCCTATAAAAAAAAAAAAAAAAAAGGATAGGGACATAGCTCAGTAGTACAGTGCCCCGGAGTTCGAAAATAAATATAGACAAGACAGCTAGGCTGGTCATAAAACTCAGGTAAAGTGCCATGGGTTCAATCCCTACTATGGCAAATTAAAAAAAAAAAAAAAAAAAAGAAAGAAAGAAAAAAAAAGCTAGAAAAAGGAATTTTGAATGTTTTTCACCATAAAGATGTAATAAATGTTTAGGATAAATGTATTATTTATTCTGATTTAAACATTACACATTGTACACATGAACTGAAATATCACATGGCACTCCATCACTACACAGAATTTTCATGTATCTATTTTAAGTGTAAAAATTTAGATCTGTTTAAAAATAAACATTAAATACATTTTTACATAGACAAAACCTGAGAAACTCTCTCCAACAAACGTATTAAAAGTTCTTCATACTGAAGGGAAATATCAGATAGAAACAGATCTGCATGAAAGAATGTGGAATACCAAAAAGGTGAATATGAAAGAATCCCCCCCACCCCGCTTTTTTTTTTTTTTTTTTTTTGCAAGTGCTAGAGATGGAACCTAGGTCCCAGTTACATGCTAGGCAAAAAAAGCACTCTACCAGTGAGCTACACCCCTAGCTCATAAGAAATTTTTTTTTTTTTTTTTTTTTTTAGTATCAGGGATTGAACCCAGGGGTGCTTAATCACTGAGCCACATCCCTAATCCTTTTAAAAAAATTTATTTTTAGTACCAGGGATTGAACCCAGGGGTGCTTAATCACTGAGCCACATCCCTAATCCTTTTAAAAAAAATTATTTTTGGTACCAGGGGTTGAACTCAGGGGCACTCAACCACTGAGCCACATCCTCGGCCTTATTTTTATTTTATTTAGAGATAGGGTCTCACTGAGTTGCTTAGGGCCTAAGTTGCTGAGGCTGGCTTTGATCTCTCAATCTTCCTTTCTCAGCCTCCCTAGCCACTGGGATTACAGGCATGTGCCACTGTGCCTGGCTACTTTTTAATTTTGAGACAGGGTCTTGCTAAGTTGCTTAGGGCCTCATAAGTTGCGAAGGCTGGCTGTGAACTTGTGATCCACCTGCCTCAACCTCCCAAGTCACTGGGATTATAGGTGTGCATCACCATTTCTGGCATAAAAGAACTTCTGATAGATATTTTTGCTTTATATTTATTTTCCTTACAGACTATTGATGATTTCAAGCAAAAAAATCCCCACCCATATATATATATCCACACCCCCCCAAACACATATATTTACATGTGTATATACATATACATACACATATGTAAACATACACACATATATTATACATATATCATGGAGTTTATAGCATATATAGAAGCAAAATTCATAAAAACAAGATCATAAGTGCAGGGGAATGATAAATGGGAATCTATGCTGTGGTTCTTAGAACTACAATAAGTAATACTGTACAATATACTCGTTAAGGCAAACACTAAAAACTTATATAGTTATAAATTAAAGTGAAGAAAGGAGATAAAGCACTGGGGATTTTGCTCAATGGTAGAGCACTTGCCTAGCATGTGAGAAACCCTAGTTTTAAGACTTAATACTAAAAATAAAAACAAAACAAACAAAAAATAAAATAAAAAGAGAGAAAGAAAGAAAATAAAATGGTAAACTAAAAATACTCAGTTTAATAATTACCTTAAGTAATTAAATGAACTAACATTCCAAATAACAGACACACTATCAGGCTGGATTTAAAAAAAAAAAAAAAAAAGCAGGACCCAAACATTTAAGAATCACATTTTATATTTAGAGTAGGAAATAGATTAAATGTAAAAGTGTAGTTAGGGGCTGAGGGCATAACTCAGTAGTTGGGTGCTTGCTAAATATTTGTAAGGCCCTGAATTCAGTCCCCAATACTATAGACACACACACACACACACACACACACACATACACACACACAAAGTGGATAAAGATGAATCAAAGACTAAACAACAGAAATCTAATTTGGCTATATTAGTATTAGGGAAGATTCACTCAATAGGAAGAATTATGAGTTGAAAGCCAGCTCAGCAACTTAACGAGGCCCTAAGACATAATAGGAACATCATAATTGTAAGAGGATCAACTCATTAGATAAATATAGCAATCCTAAAAATGCACACATCTTAAATGGCATCAAAATTCTGAAGCAGGGGCTAGGGATGTGGCTCAAGCGGTAGCGCGCTCACCTGGAACGCGTGCGGCCCGGGTTCGATCCTCAGCACCACGTACTAACAGAGATGTTGTGTCCGCCGAAAAAAAAAAAAACTAAAATAAATAAATAAATTCTCTCTCTCTCAAAAAAAAAAAAAAAATCTGAGGCAGCTGGCACACACCTGTAATCCTAGCAGCTAGGGAGGCTGAGGCAGGAGAATTATGAGTTGCTCAGCAACTTAACGAGGCCCTAAGCAACTTAGTGAGACCCTGTCTCTAAATAAAATATAAAAAAGGGGCTGGGGATATGGTTCAGTGGTTTAGTATCCCTGGGTTCAATTCCTGGTACCCTCCCCCC